TTTTTTTGCCTGCGTAATACGTGTCTTTCTGAATAGTTGGGATGGTCCCCATGCCCAGTAAGCTTGATGTAGCCCTCTGCCCATTAATAAATTTATTTTCGTCCCCATGATCTGAATGCGTGACAACTGAAACTTTGCCTGGCCCACCTTTTTCTGTCTACGCGGCTTACACTTTGGCTGCTACCTGAGGGCCCCCACCCTCTCAATCTGCCCAATTCCTAATGCACTTATCGCTCTTAGGCTGGTTTTGTTTGGGACTGCTTCTACTTTTGAAAATGTGCATCACTGTGCACTCTAACAATTCTGACCTGACTCTAATGGTCCATCCAGGGCAACCCCTCCTCCCACCCCTTCATTCCTTTGGCCCAACGACGTGTGCCTGGTGTCCGCCTTTGACGCCGGAATGCAATATAGTACTGTAATAGGACCCTTGATTATCGGTTGGGAGGTCAGATACCAATTTTGGCCTTTCAAAAGAAATTGTCCGAGCTTTTGGATTGCCCCATCTCCAAGATTTTGTTTGAATTCTGCCTCTAATGAGACAAGAATCTGAAAATTTGTCCGAACTTACATCTGACTTCAATTTTTTCGAAAAAGAAAAAGCCCCGAAACCGCTTGAAATAACCAAAAAATCTCCAATGCTTGACACAGAGTTTGATGCCTTGCATCAAAAGGACAACAAGTAAGGTAATCAGCAAGGTGGCACAACATTGTTTGAATATTGATCTGACAATGGATCTGGTGTCCGAACTTTGAATCTGACCTCTGGCCATTGTCCAGAGGCTTTGTCCGAACTTCAATCCGACCTCGGCTGGCTGATATAGAAATTTTGTCCGAACCAGGTATCTGACCTACCAACTGATAATCAAGGGTCCTACTGTAACATGCAATTAAACAACGTCTCTTTGTTTATAGACGACTGCGGACTCATGCGGGGTGTCGGTATGATGTCACGACAGCGCCGAGTGCGATCGGGTGTCGTTCATTTTCAGTTCAACGTTCAACTGGAACGACTCGATGAGCACTCCGAGCCTTACAGTTGTTGGGAATAAAATTGAGTTGGTCGGTGAATCCCGCTGGAAAGCATCCCTGCAGTACTCAACCAAGAGTCGAAATCACCCAACCAGTGTCATACCACCCTCGGATCCCTGCAAACATAACCCGTTGTTGGCCGCTCACTGCCAGCGCAGATTTCCTGGTCCCGGTAAGCACAAATTTATTACACTTACAAGAAGAAATAAATGAGTAAAGGAAGCGGACGTGGTGCGCGGCGCACCGCTGCATTTGATTTCGGGATTTGGAGAGAAAATTGAAGCAGTTGAAGGGGTTCGACTCCCCGCGTCCGCCGCGGTATGTTGATGCATTTGATCAGTTTTTTTTTTCTTTCTTGCATGAGTCAGCTGTACAACCGCTTTCAAAACCGCGACTCGATTATGCATATAAGAAAAACCATTGAAGCCGCTGCTGGGGTTCGACTCCCCGCGTCCGCATTGGGCCTCGAGATTTTTTTGCCATTCAAATACCTCATTTTTGCTCACCTACAAGAAGGACAAAATGAGGGCAGGAAGTGGACGTGGTATTGGGCGTATCCAGAAATAGATTTGAAGCAGCAACCGGGGCTCAACTCCCCGCGTCTGCATATGTTGATGCATTTGATCGATATTTCTTTTTCTTTTCTTCTTTCAACTCCTCAAGCTTTCGAACCATGACTCTATCCTCGCAGTTCCAACTCATTCCTTGTTTATATGTAAACAAAGGAATTTTGGCTTGGCCACCTGTCTGTGCATCCTAGCTCTTTTTTACACACTGCACCAAATCAAATTTTCCTAGCTAGTGGCTTGAGGAAATGAGGATAGGAAGCGGACGTAGTGCATGGTGCACTACTGCATGGAATAAGTTCTGACCATGCAAACTTGAAGCAGTTGAAGGGGTTCGACTCCCACGTCCGCATGCATCGTTGAAGGCCTGTTTTTCTTCCCCTTTTCCTTCTTGTCTCGCAATTCAACAGTTCTACCGCTTTCAAACCGCGACTCAATAATCTCCACAATTTGAAAGTTATTTCATCGAGGAATAACCATAGGTTTGACTCTGATGCATCTGACTACCTTTTTTCTCTCATGGCACCAATAAAATAATCCTAGATAGCAGCTCAAGCGAACAAAGGTAGCAAGCGGACGTGGTATATGGTGCACCGCTGCATTTCATGCGGTGTTTTGAAACGGGAAATTGAAGCAGCCGACGGGGTTCGATTCCCCGCGTCCTCCGCATTCATCTGGCCCCACTGTTTTTTTTTTTGGGTCTCGCAATTCAAGGTGCAATATGACTTGCGGTACCACTGCCAATTGCAGTCAATTATTCTTACAATTGCAGCCCGCAAGAATTCGAGGTTTCACTCTGATCCATCTTATGGCTCTTTTGTTCTCTTGGCAGCTCAAGTAAACAAGAGTAGCAAGCGGATGTATGCACCGCTACACTCTATTGGCACCTCAAAAAACCTGTTGTTGAAACTGTTGTGGTTCGACTCCCCGCGTCCGCATAACCCTCACAGGCGCTTTTTTTATTTATTTCTCTCTTTGTGGTTCAACTGAAATTAATGACTAATTCGAGTTGCAGAAAGGAGTGGAACGCGGACGTGGTGCACGGTGCACCGCTGCATTTTATAAAGCTGTGAGCAGCGGAAATTTCATGCAATTGACAGGGTCCGACTCCCCGCGTCCGCATTCCCACTTGATCAGTTTTTTTTTCTTTTTGCTTTCAACTCTTCAAGCTTTCGAACCATGACTCTATCCTTGCAGTTTCATCCCATTCCTTGTTTAAATGTAACACAAGGAATTTTGGCTTGGCCATCTGTCTGTCTGTGATAGCTTTTCACGTCACAGCCCCAATAAAATCACCCGGGTTAATAGCTTGAGGAAATGGGAATGCCAAGCGGGCCTCGTGCACGGTGCACCGCTGCACTCCATATGTTGCAGGTACTGGAATGAACCAGCTGCAGGGGTTCAACTCCCCGCGTCCGCATGCGTTGCGCATAGCACAGTCTTTTCGTTCTTTCTTTTTGCACAGGCGAGCCGGTTTCAAAGTAAGCCTCAATTATACCCAAAATTGCATCCAGCAGGAATTGGACTCCGAAGTGTTGGCTCGTTTGTTCTCACAGTCCCAATAAAATTATAAAGCCATCCCAGTTAGCAGCTTGATTAAATGAGGGTAGCAAGCGGACGTAGTGCGCAGTGCACTACTGCATTTCATTAGTGGTCTAGCACAGGATTGAGCAGTTGTCAGGGGTTCGACTCCCCGCGTCCGCATGGCACTCTGTTGTTGTTTTTATACCGTTCTTTTTTTTGCACCCCCCAACAGTAAAGCTGCTTTCAAACTGCAACTCAATTATGCATCCAGTAAGCCAAAAATAAAATTATAAAATCCTCCTGCTTGAGGCTCAAGTGTACAAGGGTAGCAAGCGGACGTGGTGCACGGTGCACCGCTGTACTCCATCAGATAGAAAAACGTTGGAACAGCTACCCGGGTTCGATTCCCCGGGCCCGCATGCGCGATTAAGCATTGATTTTTTGTTCCTTTCTTTTTGCACGGGTCCACGGTTCAACTGTTACTCAATTATCCCCACAATCCCGCAAAAAAAAGGTTTGATTCTGTTGCATCTATCTCCTCACAGCCCCAATAAAATCATCCTAGTTAGCAGCCTGAATCAATAAGGGCAGGAAGCGGACGTGGTGCTCGGTGCACCGCTGCACTCCATATGTTGTAGGTACTGGAATGAAGCAGCTGCTGGGGTTTGACTCCCCGCGTCCGCATATGTTGATGCATTTGATCATTTTCCCCCCCTTATTCTTTCAACTCTTCAAGCTTTCGAACCATGACTCTATTGTCCTTGTAGTTCCATCCCATTTCTTGTTTAAACGTAACACAAGGAATTTTGACTTGGCCATCTGCCTGTCTATCATAGCTTTGCACGTCACAGCACCAATAAAATTCTCTAGCTAGCGGCTTGAGGGACTGAGAGTAGGAAGCGGATGTGGTCCATGCTGCACCGCTGCATTTAATGCTGCAGTCAATTGAAATTTGAAGTAGCTGTCGGGGTTTGACTCCCCGCATCCCGCACCCACATTCTTCGACCTCCTGAATTCTTTTTTAAAAGTATCTTGCGCTTTGAATACCTGATTTTTATTCTCACTTATGAGGAAAAAGAAGCGCATGTGGTGCACGGTGCACCGCTGTACTTCATCAGATGGAACAACAGTTGGAACAGCTACCGAGGTTTGACTCCCCGCGTCCGCATAACAACCCTCACAGGTGCTTTTTTATTTATTTATCTCTTTGTGGTTCAACACAAATGGGTGGCTAATCCGAGTTGCACGAAGGAGTGGAATAATATTATGTGAAATGATGAAAGAAAATTGAAGCAGCTGTCGGGATTCGACTCCCCGCATCTGCATTCGGTGTCTCATACAACCCTTTTTACTCTCTCTTGCAGCGAGTGAATTTCATCTCACTTACAAGAAGAAATAAATGAGTACAGGAAGCGGTCGTGGTGCACGGTGTACCGCTGCATTTCACGTGGTGATATCAAGGGTGAAAATTGAAGCAGTTGATGGCTTGACGCCCCGCGTCCGCATGTTGGTTGAACATGGATTTGTGTCTTCTTTGTCAACTCAAAATTGTTGGCTAATCTGAGTTGCGCAAAGGATTGGAAAGGCGGACGTGGTGCACGGCGCACCGCTGCATTCTATGGGTTTGTGGCTTGAAGGAATTGAAGCAGTTGAAGGGGTTTGACTCTCCACGTCCGCGCTGGAAAATGTATCCATCACTTTTTTATTTTGTTTTTCGCAAGCCCACAGACACAGCTTTCAAAGCAAGACTCCGTTATCCCCAAAGTTCCATCCAGTTGAATTTAAGGTTTGACTCCGAAACATCTTATGGCTCTTTTTTTTCTCTCGCAGTCCAATAAAATCCTATTACTTGGCAACTTGAGTAACTGAGGGTAGCAAGCGGATCTGGTGCATGGTGCACCGCTGCATTTCATTTGCGGATTCGGAGAGAAAACTGAAGCAACTGTCGGGGTTCGACTCCCCGCGTCCGCATGCTGCGTATTCAAAAGCTTTTTCCTTCTTTTTCCTTTCTCACAATTCAACTGTTCAACAGGTCAACATAGGCCCTCAATTATTCCCCAATCCCTTAGTAAGAAAACATGCACCTATATCAATCCATCTGCCCACCTTTTTTCACCTCATGTTCCTAGTAAAATCATCCCAGTTAGCACTTTAAGTAAATGAGGGTAGCAAGTGAACGTCGCACCGCTGCACTCCATGTGTCGTAGGTACTGGAATGAAGCAGCTGTCAGGGTTCGTCTCCCTGCGTCCGCATTCGGCTGGCCCCACCGTCTTTTTTTCCTTTCCTTTTTTTTCCTGTCTCGCAATTCAGCGGTCCACTGGCGTGAAGCAGTATGCAGAGGCGGTCCAGCGTACTCAATTAATTATCCCGACAATTCCAGGACAAAAAAAGCAGCCCGTGGGGTTAACTTGCAGCACCAAATGAAATCATCCTAGTTAGCAGCTTGAGTAAATGAGGGACGTGGTGCATGGTGCACAGCTTGGCGCGAGATGTAAAATGGGCAGAAAGCGACAGCGAAGTGAAAGACCGTACCTCGCACTATTTATGCGTCGCACCGAGCTCGGTTCAAGTTTATTGCGCGCGAGGTCCTGAAGAAGAATCGAATCCAAAAGCGGAAGTGAGGAATCAGTCTGCCAGTAGGGATCACGAATACAAATGAGGATAGGGGCGACTGGAATGATAGAAGCGCCGTCCGTCCATCTACGAAGTGACAGATATCTGCAGAAGTGAGTCCGAGTAGACGGGTGCCAACTGTCTATTTCTGCCTAATATTCGTCCGCAGAGACCGATCGGATGCATGGGTTATGTCAGTACGGCTTTCATTATTCCTTGAACTTCTGCTCCTTTTTTTCTTTTTTTTTTGAAGAATATTCAGCCACTGAAATAATAATTATGCCGACCAAAAGGTATGCTCCCAGATTTCCACTCGACCAAGCACAATTCGGCTGGACTGGCATATGCAGCTATCTCGGGTGATTCGGCGAACGGGCCGCTGGTTCCCAAGATGAAACGACAGCCGACGCGACGTTACGCTTGCAGTAAGCTCAACAGCCATGTTCCGCCTTCCCATCGTCTCGCCGAGTTCCTTCTTCTTCTCGGCACTAATAGGAAGGACATCTAGCGAAGCATTCTCGTAGCAATTGAGGCGTATTTGGGCAACGCACGCCATTGAACAGATAGCTGGCCACAGTTACCTCGCGTCAAATAGGCGAGGGTTGTTCAGTGAATGTTGAGGTGAAAAAATGAATGAGAACAACGTACGGCATCAACCGGGGTGCTTTGCTTCGACGCTCGAGGACAGTGGGGAACCGGATCGCCGCGAATGCCTCGCCCGGTGGTTTTGGGTTGAGAACCGTGCGCGAAGCGTCGGTGATGTCAAAGTGGAATGTCGATGCACGATGGACAAGGATGCACGATGACTAAAAAGAGGAGATGAGTCCCAGGATGAAGAACGAGTGGATATCAGGGTATACACCTCTTCCCTGGGTGCATTCGAGTCAGAGTGCTGCAGAACAAGCGTGTCCTTGGGTGTCAAGATGAAAGCATGAGGACGATCGGGGTTGTTCATCTCGTAGTCGTGCCAGTGCGAGTCAAGGGCATCCCCGTTCAGCATCACATATGGAAGATTTGCACAAATAGCATTGGCCGCGTCCGCCACTTGGCCGTCTGGGACGAGGATTTGGAGATCAAAAAGGCCAGTGGGCACACGATGCACGATGGCCAGCGCGTCTTCGGCCCATACGACACAGAGTATTCCAGCCCTTGAGATTGACAAATTCGTGCGCGCTGCCAAGGAGGACCGATAGGGCTTTTGCCATAAAAAAAATGTACACCCATGACGTCGGCCGTTAGGCTTTGTAATCTTTCCCCGAACCATATTCAGTCTTTTTTTTAAACTTGCAGAAGAACGCCTCAAGGCCGGAATTCATTCATTGTGGACTGTATACGGCTCAAAATATGGTCCGAAGTATAAAACGAAGACATTGCTGACTACGACGCAGATAAAGTGGGAATTGAAGAGGGAGAGCATTCGAAACGGCAATCTGAGAAGGGATGTGTAGGTGTTCCTAGACAGGGCGGGTGCGACATACTCAGTTGGTAATGAGATCCGCTGTGCTCCCGGTCAGGTCGCGATATCCTTGAGGGTTGCGGTCGAACATGGCGGTAGCATGGTGAAAGAGGCGACTCCGCAGAATGGTGGCAATAGGTGAAGGCATTGCGCACAACATAGTTGTGTGGATGGGCATCGAATCTCCACTGAGAAGGCGCAGGGAAGTGCGCGGGTCGTGCGTTACATGCGGGGGTGTGGGGGAAGCAATCGCCGAATAACCGGATGCTCGTAAAATGGGGCGGGCCCTGCGCGTGGTGAGGGCTTGGGTCGCATGATCGTGATGGCCTGGCGCGGGGAGTGGATGAGAACGTGGCGGTGGATGTGGGCGGGACGTGGTGGCCGTCGCGGACGCGACTAGCTCGTTGTACGCAGCGTGCGTATTTTGCGCGCGTGTGGACCGCTTCGAAGATGTATTGTAGCTTGCAGGCGCTAAAGGCGAATGCCCGGGGGCTCGCTGAAGGTGCTGCGGGAGAAGCATCGTTGGATGAGGGGAGAGGGGTTGCTGGAGCCGAGGCTGGGTGGGGACGCGACATGCAGAGAGATTGGCACGTGGATGGAGATAACATGGTGGAGAGGCGGATGGAGGCGGCGGGGCTGTAGAGATGGTCAGAAAAAGTAGAGAGTCAAGGGCCAGGGACCCGGGAGAGAAGGAAACGACCTACCTTGGGCTCAGCACGGGGGGGACGCGTGCACCGGTCGTCAGGGGCTCGTATCGTCCATTGATGAGGCCCCGACGGGCACAGACGGTGTCGTTGATGAACGGGCAGGGTGCTGCGCTACCCGATGCCTGGCGATATGACAACGCAATGTAGAGGGTATGGGGGGATGGGCAGAGACTAACCACCGTGTACAATCGTTGCGCATTGAGCAGGGCATCGAATGGCGACGGTGGATGCCTTGCCTGATTTTTTTTTTCCTCCAAACGTGCGCGCTGTCGTGCATTCCGCGGTGGCCTCAGCAGCAACGAACACATTGTGGAAGTGTAAGTGATCTAGTAAAAGGAGGACATACAGGCACAAGCACCGTGTCCCATTCGTTCTCTGAGCCCTAGGCCCTAATGGCGCTCAAGACGCGTTCCAGGTCCCAATCTGTCGGCGAAGACGACAGTCCTGAGGACATCCTCGCGGAAAAGTACCGTAATGCCGACGGCGTACGCGAAGTGGACACGTCGGAACGACGCCAAGGAGGCGGGTGCAAGCGCCGTAGAGCGTAGATTACGAGTGCGACGTGGGTGAATTGCATCATCCCTAAGCCACCCACAGTTCCCCGAGGAACGACATCGTTGCTTCGTGGTGATCGGTGCGCGCATCCGAGACAGGTCGGCGCGAGAGGAGCGCATAGGGCTCCAGAAATGCGGTCGGCGGCGGCAAGAAGCATGGTGGACGAGGGCACAGGCAGGTTTGGGTTGACGCCGTGGCGACTGCACGAACTAAATTTGATCAGAGTCCGATCAATGTCGGAGATAAGACGGCGTTATTAACAGTACGGCCACCGATCCGGTCGAAAAGGAGCACCTCGTCTCACAGGTTGGACTCCATTTCCAACAAGAGTACCCCAGTTCATTGCCTCAGGCCTGCATTCCCCGATTTTTCTTCTCTATCATCAGCAATCTGATTTTTTTTCACCATACATAGCATACTATGAGCTCTACTAGTACTATAGTGAATTACTATCCACTTCATAACACTACCATATGTACTATGTACATCTATAGTTCAATCAGATTTGTGATCTTTAAATCTATTGAATCTTCGCTGCCAGTGCGAGATGAAAGCTGTCATTGCAGAAGCACCACTGTCAATAGTTTGGCACCCACGTAAGTACTGTACCCGAACACTACGGCGACCACTGGAACGCAACATCCTCAAGTCCTCACTCAGGGCACCGCAGCTACTACCCTACAGCTCATCAACACTGATCTGCAAAAATGACTGATCTACATTTCGAGCGGGACTGCAGCAGTTCATCGCGCTGTCAGCTGGCTCAAGCGCCACATCAATCTGTTCGACGTTCATTTAGTAGACCAGAACAATGAGGCCGAGCACTTTCCCGGATCTCCCGTCATGGCCTTCTCTCTAATTTAAAGCGCAACGTGCTCTGTGCATGTTCCTCCGACCCTTCCTTTTATACTTGTCTTTGGCCCAATGCATTCTTCGTGCTACGACCCCAAGTCTACTGCAGCACTACATCCTCTTTGGTTGGTTCTGTCACTTATGTGAACTTTTGACCGAGGCTGATATAGTTCTGTCTCTAAAACATAAGAGACACTCTTGCTCGGAATAGCCATGCCTAATGACTCCTACATAGTTAACATGAAAGGTGCGAGAGAATTGATTAGGATACCAAATTCAGTATTTATTTTACCTAGGAGGTGAAGGAGGCACTGGTGGATTGGGTGGCCAACAGGGTGGTAATGGAGGTGTTGGAGAGGGTCCCAGACTATATTTGGATGCTGACATCATGCACATTGTGACACACCGGGGTGGCAGGGAAGAAGGAATAGATATCACACGCCGAGACTTTCTTGACTGGTTTTCACCAATCAATTTCTTTGTACGACAGGCAGAAATTTCGCAGATGCGGGAGAAGGGGACTGGCGGATGGCTGCTTGCACATCCTATCTTTAAAAAATGGGAATCTGGTTCTGGAAGCACCCTTTGGTGCCGTGGAATTCGTATGTAATTCATCACCCTCATAGTTTCCAGACTAACCAAGCTGAAATTTCCAGCCGGGGCTGGGAAAACAGTCCTTGCGTACATCAATTCTCCAGATTAAGGGCCACTACTAATCATAACAATCTTAGATCAATGGTTGTGGATTATCTCAGTGCTGCATTCAGAAACAACAAGAATATTGGTG